GCAAACTTCGGGCTCACATTGAAAGTCAGGAAAACCGAGTATTTGACGACTGACCCGGACTAGTCTGGTTCCTTCAGAGTCAGTGGCAGTGTGCTAACGCGAACGACAACGTTCAAATGCCTCGGATCAACAATAACGTCAGACGGTAGTCTTGACTCAGAAGTGAGCGCGCGTGTGAGTGCAGCCTTGTCTAAGTGGCGGTATACGACAAACGTTCTCTGCGACGAGACGATACCAGATCGCCTCAAATCGAAGATCTACAGAACCGTCGTTCAACCAGTCACGATATACGGTGCTGAATGCTGGCCTACGACCAGAGAAGTTGAAGCGCGCCTCGGAGTCGTGAAGATGAAATGTTGCTGTGGACCGCCGGTGTCACGCGTATGGATCGCACATGTCCTTCGCGCAATTTGTGACACCGTCGGTAGGATGGTCTTGAGCTGGAGGCTACCGGAAAACGGCCTAAAGGATGCCCCGAGCAGCGCTGGTCAGACACGTTGCATGCGGACTTAGAGATAGTTGGCGCCCATCCGATCAAGCATTCAATCGGGAGAAATGGCGGACAAAATAAGATGAGCGGACCCCGCTATAGAGCGGGACAAACGTTGAAGAAGAAGAAGAAGAAAATGGATGCCAGTGCTTAACAATGCAGGGGAGCGTGGCGCAAAGTTGGACATTATCTCAATTTTGACTTGGGCTCGGGTTGTGGAGGTTTTCTCATCCACATAACGATAAAATACGGAGGCAACTCGCAGTCACAAAGAGCAATGTCTTTGCTACACCAGTTCGAGGGGAGAGCCGTCCAGCTCTGTTGCATGAGGTACGGCTCGAACTATTTTTAGACGGAGTGCACTGCACTATCACGATGAGGGTTGGCGGACACGGATGAGGGTTGGCGGACAAATTTCTCCTCCAATCGACGGTACACTTTAAATCTCTTAGCTGCTTTGCGTACGCATTGACCGAGGAAGCAGCTTTTTCATCCAGCACTTTCACGATCCGCAGCTCCCTCAATCTGAGTTCACAGGTAACCCAGACTTCACTTCGTCATCAAAACTGTAGGCTCCCGCTTTTATTACTTATTATTGTTTAGCTTGATAATTGCCGTTTAACACCGCAATGCGCCCTCTAAAAGCTATCACGAGAGTGCTGAGAACTAGGCAAAATTCGGACCTTAGACGCGAACCAACCCGCATCTCCCGCTTACGGGGCGTTTGCCTTATCCATTACGCTACATTGGCCACTCTCGCATTCAGCTCAGTTGTGTTTTGTGCCGTTGTGTGGTTGTTTGAGCTTGATAAGTGATATATATGCCGAAATGCGCGCAAGTGATATCACGAGGGTGTTAAGTTATGGGCAGACGTCAGGAGACGGGCGATTCTGTCGTGGGCTGACGAGTAACACTGCGCACGGCGAGGACGGCACGTGATTGCGGGAGATGGCGCATGATTTGCTCTTCCCTTTACAAGATTTCTCGTTAAAGCTAATGATTTTCTTCAGTTTCTGCCCAACCTGTCTTCAGGTCGCAAGATGTGAAAATCGGCAATAAAGTGCTAGCAAGCTGTCTAATAAGCGAATAATAGGTTGGCGGGAAAGTTCTGTCGCATTCTTTCAAATTACGCTTTCTTTTTATAGGGAGGCGTGTAAAATCAAAATTATACATCAATGTTACTGCGGGATTCTTGCCAGTTTTTGAGCACCTCATGGATGCCATCGTTTCACAATGCGGGGGGAGGGGAGGGGGGCGCGACGCAAAGTTGGACATTATCTCCATTTTGACTTGGACTCGTTCGGGTTGTTTAGTTTTCTCGTTCACATAACGATTGAGTACAGGAGGCAACTTGCAGTTACAAGGAGCAATGTCTGGGCTACACCTAGACATTGCTCCTTGTAACTGTCAACGGGAGAGCCATCCAGCTCTATTGCATGGGGTACGGCTCGAACTTTTTTGGACGGAGTGCGCTGCACTGTCTTGATGAGGGCGGGCTGTGCAGACCAATTTTTCCTCCGATCGACGGACGCTTCAGATCTCGTAGCTGCTTTGCGTACGCATTGACCGAGGAAGCAGCTTCTTCATCCAGCACTTTCACGACCCGCAGCTCCCTCAATCTGAGTTAACAGGTAACCCAGACCTCACTTCGTCATCAAAACTGTAGGCTCTCGCTTTGAAGCATTAGCGTCGTGGAGGGTTGTTCGATAACTGAAGGCATCGTCCTCATTCAGCTCCATTATTTTGGCATCTGCAGCTATAGTGCTGGCGTCAGGGTGGCGGAAGAAAGAGTTTGAGGAAGCGTTTGGAGGGTCAGTGCCGATGGTAACGGATAAAATCCTTGTCCGTATTGCAGAAGAAGAAGAAGGAGCAAGGTAGTCAAGCGAGTGGTACTGCTAGAAAGATCACTCCTTGATGTATAAGTGCTCACATTACCGGTTACATCTGTTCAGGTAATGGGCAAGTATTTTGAGTTCGAAAAAGTGTGACGGAACTTCCCCGCCAATCTAATACTGTCGGCGACTAGACGACTTTTATCATTAATAGGTCAGAATCTCAAATTTTTCTAGTAGTTGGTCTCGAGGGATAATTTTGACCGCTAAACAGAAATATCTTACTCATTCGGCCCAAAAAACTCTTGGGACGCGCGCTATGCCATACTACGTGTCCCCTCAGTTTGAAAAAGAATTTTTCTCTGAAAACCACTCCAGGTGCCTTATAGGGGTGAAAGTTGTGTGCAGACGTCAACCTGGTGCCTAACCGTTTTGCAAGCGCTTGGCGCATATTCCAAGAAAAACAGTAAAGGTAGCACATGCACTAAGGAATCGAACTTTTGTCCCATACCTGAGAGTCTATTCACCTATGAGCTCCACTGCTGGAACATAGGTGCTGCGTTGCATAAGACTCACATATGCACCGAACGACGCAACGAGCTCCAGTGCAGACGAAAAAATCTTCATAACCCCTCCCCATACAACAAGTGGCCGCATTACCGGTGACCTCTCTACAGGAATGGGAAAGTATTTTGAGTTCGAAAAAGTGTGACAGAACCTTCCCGCTACCCTAATATGTTCGAGCAATTATAAATAGAGGCGTAGAACTCCCTCTATGTCGGGTCTATTAACTAGTTTCTGCAGAAAGCGAAAAATAGCATTCGGCAAGGATTCGATCCCAGACCTGTGTGCTGATGAGATAACCTTCATAACTCCGCTCTGAAAATGGTCAAGGCGTTTAGGAGGCCAGGTTGGAATCATTGCCAAAAGCGCATACAGGTATGTGCAAGATAAACATCCATGGCGAGCTGGTATCCTTCCCTTATAAGAAACGTCTACTCCTGGAAAACTGTGAAGCTGATTCGCCAGCGTGAAGCTGCATGAGCCACTCGCAACTCCCATTTAACGTTTTTCCAAGGCTATGCAGGAACGCGATGAAGGTAGAGTTCAAGGAGTGAGAGGCAATGCTACTGGTTGAATCAGCAGAGCCTGGAAAAAGAATCCGCGAGACTTCGTCCACATACCGGAATGATTGGTCCGACGTTTAGGTTGATCACTGCTTCCCAAAGGGAGGTGGAGAACGTCATCTAGGACATCTACCCAATCTATTTGATAGCTTGTCCACCTTCTATCGTACCGCTTGGAGCAGAATAGATGATGATGATGATAGTTCCTTCAGTCCACTGCCTTTTGGGATGCAAGCTTCCGTTCTGACACGCCGTGTCGTTGGCAAAGAAACGTTAGTGACCAGGTCCCGACAGGAACAGACTTAAAATTCCGAAAAACTTTGCGGCAGTCGCCTGTTCTGGTCAGGCTCTTCACGCGCTATCTGTCGATATGTGGGTACCTACCTCGTGCGAAACTTCAGTTGTTACATAGGGAGAGAAACTTCCACCTTAGTGAGAAGACTAGTAGAATAGAAGGAGTGCCATGGGAGCAAGCCGTTGTGGAGGGTTTAGCACGAGCGATCATATCCACACAGTCAAATCTAAAATTCTAAGTGTCGCGAGAGAATAAAGTGTCGCTGTGTTTTGTATTCATCGACGTGAAGGAGGCTTTCGTTAAGCCCAGGGCAGCCAGGCTGTACTCAGCATACATATGCTGGATGGTGAATGCTTTGTGGATTTCACCATTTGGCAAGGAGACAGTCTTCGTTGTGAAGAGGGGGTCCTACAGAGCGAGAACATTTTGCCCAAACTCTTCAGCTCCGCCTCCGAAAACATCTCGAGTGGGAACATACGGGAATGGCGGTCAACGGCCTCCTTAGTTATAAATACTGATTGTCGTGCTAACGGAGCGAATGGTTGTTAATTTCATCTGCGCATGTGGAGTGATCAGTTGCAGTTGCAGCTGAATTTGAGGACGATGATTCTTATGAGGAACGGACCAATTTTGGTTGCCCCTCCGCGCTCAACTAAACGGTTGTGAATGTTTCTGCTGAGTGTGTCGAGGTCGTCGGGCTACCTCGCTTCCCTTCTCGCGTTAACTTTCTGTTTTCTCTGCACTTCATGTCACTGATACTTCAGACATTTCAGCTTTTCACGCATGATAGGTGCCCCGCTCTCCTGTCAAAAAAGTCTCTCTGGCGCGTCACCTGTTTCTGGACAAAGGTAAAAGTAGCCACGTAAATGTGTATCTAGGTCGGAAAATAAATACGATGAACGAGCTAACGTTTGGGCATAAGGAACGTTTCAGAACATCGAGGGAGTAGTGAAGAAACGTCGGGCTCCATGCCCAATTCCTTGATGCTGCAATCTTCGCTTACTCAGTGCAAGCGTCACTCTAAGGCTGAATTACAGACCTCACTGGCGCTCGATCGACGGATCGGATAATCAGCGAAATAACTGATGATACAGGTGGTAGCAAGGAGATCCTGGTGTCCAGACAGAAACGGCAAGCAAGTGCGCCACAGCAGTACACAGGTATTTGTAGCACGTTCAGTTGACCTTTTATGTTCCATTTTTTCACTTTGTGCATCGTGACTATAACACCAGATCAAGCCCGTACCTCCTAGATTTATGCTAAAAGGTGAGAAACCCTGTTATATTATGAAGGAGCCAGTTCGGATGAAACCTAACAGAAGGAAAAGTTCAGTCTTTCGGCCCGCGGACTTGTAGCCTCGAGAGAATATGATGCTTCCGTCGAAGCTTAGCAATAAATTATAGAACACAGGTTCAGTGTCAAACCTGTGATAAGCATAGGACACCGTAGCGAGTTGTCTCATAAGTTAGCTCTTTTTTTCAGGTGCCATTCGGGGTGTCCGAATTGAATGGGTTTCTGCCGAAGACGGTTCCCACATTCTCAGTGTTGGAATTGGCGCCAAAATCTATATGTACACCCAGGTGATTTGTGCGTTCCAGCAACTTGTTTTTTTTAATGCCATGTTTTCCAGGTCTCTATGGATTCTGCTCAAAGAAATGTAACATTTGTGAAAGAGAGTGAAAGCGCCCTTAGGCGACCTTCCCTCCAAAACACTTCGCCTTTTGTTGCATACTCACATTCACATAATCACCTTGTATGTTTTTGATCCACCCTTCACGTCTAGCTCTAGTATTGCGTATCATTCTTCTATTGAGATTGACATTTTCTCAAGCACTTCATTTAGTATGAATTTCCCATCTAATTTAAAGGCTCGTTGGGTGTGCGCTCGAGTCCTCGAACTGCATTCTGCTGATGGCCTGCCTCCTTTACCTACGACGCTCGGTTGGGTTCGAGACGGTTTGTTCATTGTGGGGATGCCAAGTGAAATGCGCGTGTACGACCAGTGGAGTATGCAGCGAACGAGTGACGACAACAACACGTTTGTGATTTATTTTATTTGTTTTCCATAACTCATGGTGCCCTTTCGACAGGGATAATATTGTTTGGATCATGATACCCTGTAGTCTCGTGGGTGTGGAATGTACGCACTAGTCACAACGAGTGTGGCCAGCTGGCGTTGCCAGTGGGTGCCGTACGCTTGATTCGCACCTGGACCGAGTCTCTTCACCCTCTCTCTCTCTGCCTCAGTGTCTCCCAAGTCGTCTAGCTCCCTTTATGCCTGTGTCTGTGTAATCACGTAACTGGAAAATACTCTGCTAGTCGACATTCTGCCACTACCAGAAAGCACCCCTAGACTCATCTGTTGTATTCAGCTAACGGGGTACGTACCTGACTAATAGGTGCCCTCATACTTTGCAACACTGGAGAGCACAGGGCAATCGGGGAATATGACAAAAAGAAAGTGGGAAGATTAAGAGAGTGGGAATAGGAGATTATGAGAGTAGGAAAATATGCATCAAAGGGCTACATGGAAGTCTATCGTTCCCGATTCTCTTATACTGCGATTCCGCTACTCTCTCAGGTCAGGTCTTCAGATCGATGTTTACCTTTTCTTTCCTTTGAGCCTACCGGTGTATGGAGGCTCTCGAACGTTTTACACAATTTCTTCTAACTCCGCCCTTCCTCAAAGCGGGCTGCACCTATCACATGCATGTCTCACATTTCTCAACTCGCACCGTTTTACAGACTTCTTTCTGACTCCTTTTCCTCGAAGCAGGATCCGCCTATAACACGTCTACCCACTTTTCTTGACTAATGACCCTTCGATGACCCTTAGCTCACATTTTCCGGTGTAGGAGGCTCTGGAACTGTTTACAATTTTTTTCTGACTCCGCCCACCCCTAGGAGGCTCCGCCTATGACATGTATGCCCCACGTTTTTTGACTGATGACACTTCGATGACCCTTAGCTCACATTTTCCGGTGTATGGAGTGATCTCGCACCGTTTCACAGACTGTTCGTCAGTCTCCGCCCTTCCTCGAAGCAGGCTCCGCCTATAACATGTATGTCTCACATTTCTTAACTGGTGATCCTTCGCTGGCCTCGATCCTCTTTTTTTCGGTGTATGGAGGCTCTCGAACGTTTTACAGAATTTTTTCTGACTCCGCCCAGGTCTGAGGAGGCTGCGCCCACAACATGTGTGCCCCACATTCTTTTAACTGGTGATCCTTCGCTGGCATTAATCCACTTTTTTCCGGTGTTTGGAGGCTCTCGAACGTTTTACAGAATTTCTTCTAACTCCGCCCTTCCTCAAAGCAGGCTGCGCCTATCACATGCATGTCTCACATTTCTCAAGTGGTGATCCTTCGCTGGCCTCAGTCCACTTTTTTTTCCGGTGTATGAGTGATTTCGCACCGTTTTACAGACTTCTTTCGACTCCCTTTCCTCGAATCAGGATCCGCCTATAACATGTCTACCCACTTTTCTTGATTAATGACCCTTCGATGACCCTTAGCTCACATTTTCCGGTGTATGGAGGCTCTGGAACTGTTTACATTTTTTTCTGACTCCGCCCACCTCTAAAGATGCTCCGCCTATGACATGTATGCCCCACGTTTCTTGACTGATGACTTTTCGATGACCCTTAGCTCACATTTTCCGGAGTATGGAGTGATCTCGCACCGTTTCACAGACTGTTCGTCAGTCTCCGCCCTTCCTCGAGGCAGGCTCCGCCTATAACATGTATGTCTCACATTTCTTAACTGGTGATCCTTCGCTGGCCTCAGTCCAGTTTTTTCCAGTGTATGGAGACCTCTGGAACTGTTTTACAGAGTTTTTTTCTAACTCCGCCCTTCCTCGAAGCAGGCTCCGCCTATAACGTGTATGTCTCGCATTTCTTAACTGGTGATCCTTCGCTGGCCTCAGTCCACTCTTTTCCGGTGTATGGAGGCTCTGGAACTGTACTACACACTTTTTTCTGACTCCGCCCACCTCTAAGTAGGCTTCGCTCACAACATGTATGCCCCACATTCCTTAACTGGTGACCCTTCGCGCAGCTCCGCCTATAACATTTATGTCTCACATTTCTTAATTGTGATCCTTCGCTGGCCTCAATTCACTCTTCTCCGGTGTATGGAGGCTCTGGAACTGTTTTACAGATTTTTTTCTGACTCTGCCCACCTCTAAGGAGGCCCCCAACATGTATGCCCCACATTTCTCAACTGCTGACCTTTCGACGACCTCAATCCTTTTTTCTGGCTCCGCCCACCTAAAAAGCAGGCTCTGCCCAAAACATGTGAGCTTCACATCCCTTAGCTACCCCTATGACCTTATTACACTTTTTTCGCGGTGTAAGGAGAGCTCTGAAACTGTTTTCCAGACTTTTCTTCACACTCCGCCACCTCAAAGAAGGTTCCGCCCGCCACCTCAAAGAAGGTTCCACCCATAACATGTATGCCCCACATTTCTTAACTGCTCACCCTTCGATGACCTTAGTCGCTTTTTTTCAATGTCTGGAGTGATCTCATACCCTTTTAGACTCTTCTATCTGGCTGCGAACACCGCAGGTTCCGCCCACAACATGGAAGCCCCACATTTCTTGAGTGGTGACTCTTCGCTGGCCTTAATCCACTTTTTTTTGTTGTCTGGAGTGCTCTCGGACCGTTTTACATCACTGCTTCACAATCTCATCATGTAAAGTCTTCTCCATATGCAGCGTTGATCTTTCCGGCCATTCTGCCTGCAGTGGTCTCCAGCACGTAAGCATGAAAAACAATCGCGTACAGCCTTCACTGCTGAACTTGACGGGGTGAGAAACGATCAGCTTCAGCAAATAAATAGTATTCTAGCCATGTCACGCAGCCAACTAGAACTAGAGCGTCAGGGTATATAGCGCGTACGAAACGGGAGGAATCAACAGTCGAAGGAGATTTTCTTAAGGTCAAATACGGCTTCCTCTCGCGGCGACCCAGGTAGCACTGGATGACCGGTTTCACTCAGTAGTGATGTACCCCCTATTGTTCACATACTCGAGGCGGATGCTTCTACAGGGGTCATAGATGAATCTATTATTGTTCACATAATGATCGGTTGATGAAGCGAAATACTGCCAACCAAGGATAGGCCCAAAAGATGGGAGAAGTCAGCCTTTTTCGGATACGACGACTGAAACCAGTCCGAAGTCGAATGGGTCCTAATCTCCCGTATTTCATCAGAGGAATAGCGGAATATAGGGGTGAAGAGTGCTTCATCTTAGGAGCATAACTTACAAAAGTGGTTCGTGGGATGAATTGTTAAGAAGTACACCGGCGTTCCTGTCAATCACACAGTTGCCACATACAGGGGAGGGGGGCAAAAAAAAAGTCATTTTGCCTCCATGACTTTCAAGGCGCTGTAAGTTACACTTTATTGAATTTTTATCGGACATTTTTACTACCATATTCAAGAGCACATTAAATACTATAACGATACTCCGACACAGCCTTCTGGAGGAGCGCCATCGAGAGATTCGGCCGCGCGAAAGTGAGTGGGTGCCAGAGATCAGCGAGATAGTCGATTTCTCCGCCACCCTAGACCACCCTATTGAGCTCCGCCCGAACTAGGTAATTGAGTGGGTTTAGGTTAGGGGACATGTTTCAATATTACATCTTCATCACGTACGAAACGCCCTTCCATTCGAAGTAGGCGGGAGTTTTTCCAAAACCCTTCAATTCCATGTGGTGGCACCCAATGCTGTAGCAGTACAAAGTTTCCAAGAAGGTACGGGCGACCACATGTAGGGAGGATATCCTTCTCGAGTTACTTGATGTAACCGCCAGCGCTCACCTTCAGTCGGGGTCTACAAAAAAAATATCGGTCTTTCTATTCCAGGTACGGCCTGTCCACACCATCAACCCACGCCTTGGTGAATGGGGTGAAGATGATCTCCTGGACCGTAGCGACGTTGCCGGAGCTGCTCGATGTTTGAGGTCTTGCAGATCATGAGAACTGGTCTCCAGGTAGCTATGCATGGGTGATTCCATAAGAAGTTCGCAGCTGTTTGGAGGCCACGTGAATTCCAAAGGCGTTCTCCACTCAGGCCGCGACTGGAGATGACTTCATATTTTGGTGTACATGAATGCGGCAGCCGACTCCTGCTTATAGAGGAAGATCTTGGGTATCTTCCGCCTGGTACTCATATCCACTTCTTCTGTCTGGGCTGCGAAAACTTCGCTCATATGTGGATCGGCCGGAATGACTTTTTTTTGGCCCCCACCCCCTATCCGATGTCAACCAGCTGTGTGTCGGGCTGCAGGAAAATTTTTATCTTGGAGAGGATCGCGACAACGATCGCATTTCGGCTGGAGATCCGAAGATGTTTCCCCTCACGGTAATGCTTCTGAAAAAATTTCTGATCCAGCAGTAACTGTCTTGAGAGGAATCGTGTCGCGACTAGTGGTACGACGCAGTTGATTCTCGTCAATTCCACATGAAGGTCAAAAAAGACTCACATCTGAGAAACACTGATAGGCTTATTGAAGCCTTTGTGCAAGCTCCACATCATGAACAGTTTATGAACCTTCCACTGCAACAGTGCTCCACAAGGCCAAACTTGATCAAAGCAAGCTACCCGACATCAGTGAAGCAGAAGAATGGCCATCGTATGATAGTTGGATCCCAACCCACTCTTACTTCTCAGTGTGGTCTGCGACTGAAAGCAAGGCTTATCAAGTTGTCATCCTGGTATTGTCATAGGAAATGGCACTAGGAGACCGGCAGCAGATATAGAAGTCGGATTCTTGATCCAGTCGGGACCGCCTGAGTCAGTTTTATTTCATTTTGGAGGGGAGCTCCAACCTATTACCCTACCCTTGTTGACAACTTCCTCCACCCTTCACAGTGATCACAACTTTTCCTGTTAGGTTACTTTCGCAGCTCAATTTAAAAAATATTTGAAAAACCTTCTGTGGGGCTCGGCCCCCTGTCTTGAAGTTCGAGTGCTCCAGTGCTTGACGCAGTTCTTTTCCGGTCTCTTGGCGATGCTCTCTAGCCACCTGTAACTTTATAAATTAGTATTTATGAAAAAATGCAGTCATTTTGGAGGAATCAGTGAGTAGTTGTTAAATGCACTTCTGGTTTCCTCTTTCCTTTTATTGCTTTCACATGATTTGACAGTCTAAAAAAGCTGTCACCGAAGAGCAATTTGGCTCGGTGATAGTGTCGCTGTAATCCTACTGATAGACTCGCATTTACATTCTCCTAGGAGAATTGTTGGAGTCGTTATTCATTATACCCGTGATGAGGCTTTTAGGAACTACAGTCAGTACTGCAGGCTCAAGGCTTTTTTTAAGTGGATGTGGTATTCCCGCTTAGGAGATCGAAGTACTCGGGAGAACGAATTTGCACCTGAACGGAGATTCCAACTACCACATCGAAAAACCTGCACTGTCCTTCTGGTTACATGTCCTTGACCACATGTCTGCTTCTACACCTGCGCATGTATCGCGGAATTCGGCTGGTTTTGTGCTGAGGGATGTGCTAGAACAGTTAGGGAGACACGCAAAGCAACGCAGCATCTTTCTAGTTAGATGACACTTCTTCCTTCCTCTGCTAAGGCTCGGCCTTAGCAGAGGAAGTGAGTACTATACTATGTCATATGGAAGAGATCGCTGTAATGTAGGAAATGAGACGGTGTCGCTATTGGTGGGCGACGGAAGTGATATCAATTCATAAGAATTAACGAGAGGGAGTTTTCTCTACATTTCTTAAGCCTATACTGCCGCTTCTGTAGCTTAAGAATTACACTAGGGAGCTCGGTGCTTACAAGGGAAGGATGGTAGGTCGAAGTGGCCATTGGAATGAAATTTATACCGGTTGAAAGGACTTTGGACGGGAATTGACCGACTTCCATATCTGCTGCGGACCCACCGCAAAAGGGTTACGAAGCTTCTTGGGGGGAGAATACTCGCATTCAGGACGAAAAGGCGTAAGGTGCACGGAATCGTGGCAGCATGGCGGAGTGGATACGTCGTAGGGCTCACAAATGCGCGGTCAAAGTTTGGATCCTTGATGTGTGTGCTCTTTTGCACTTTTTCGAAAGTGTTCTCTGTGCACTTCAAAGCAGTTTTGCACAACTCTTGTGCTCGCTTCGTAATGTTTCTGAACTAATCTAGCCATTGCGAACAATTTTATGGAGAACATTTCTAGCTATAGATATCGCGCCGCTCTGTGGATAATAATACGGAATTCAATGGTTTTTGTTGGCGAAACATTTTCAGCGCAGAATTTTGAGGTAGAAAAGTCTCAGCACATGTGGGCCAACCTAGTAGTCTGTGACAAGTTTCTGCATTCTTCTTTCAGTGTTATATGACTAAAAATTTTTAAGGACCAAGTGTCCAAGCAAGGAAGCAAGCTCATCTTCTGTTGTGAACGCAATACCGGCAGTGGGCCTCTTTGAAGCTGCCCGTCTGGCGTCACCCATACTACCGCAATATCATCCTAAGCAACTTATTGTTCTGCTTAATGCTGGTCGAAATAGATGTGTCAGAGCAATTCTTCTTCATGTCCTGACTGCGTTGAAGGTATCTTTACAAATTTTGATTCATAAGGGAACTCAAACAGGTCGTTCCGACCATGTGCAGCGGGGTGTGAACTGATATGTACATCCTGAGAGGCTGAATTCAACCGCTCTCCGAATTTGCGAAAGGTCTTTGTGAACCGAGTTATGAAATTTTTGGCACTATTTACCCTTTACTGCCCCAGCCATCCGAAATCAGGCCAGTTCCTGACCGACTTTTTTCTCCGTGGGCAGTATTTGTTGAAAACTTGGCTCCAGGGGTAGTTCGGCTCGCTGAACACGAATATCGCATCCGCTTGACCCGAAACCTCCTGGCGCCCGCGTCACGGGCGCCGGCGCCAAAATACTCGAAATCACCAAATTCGCTGAAAACTTGCTCTCAGGTGTAGTTCGACCCCCTGAACACGAATATCACATCCGCTCAATCCGAAACCTCCTAGCGCCCGCACCGCGGGCATCGGCGCTAAAATAGCCCGAATCATTGGCGCCTGTGGCGCGGGCGCCAGGAGGTTTCGGGTCAAGCGGATGCGATATTCGTGTTCAGCGAGCCGAACTACCCCTGGAGCCGAGTTTTCAACAAATTCTACCCACGGAGAAAAAAGTCGGTCAGGAACTGGCCTGATTTCGGATGGCTGGGGCAGTAAAGGGTAAATAGTGCCAAATTTTTTACTCGCGCAGTTTTTTCTTACAACTGCCGTTTCACTGGAGACAATCACGCCGCCAAGGCGGCTGAAGACAACAATGGGTAGTCTGACACGCTGAGCACAGTTACCGCAAACATTATGCGTGGAACTATGCCTTATTCTCGTTCTCTAGGAGACCACTCGCAAGTATTAGTGACTGCGGCTTCGAAGAATGCTTCGCCTCCAGGGGCTCGCAGCAAGTTTATTTGACCCCGAGACTATGTTTCGATACCAGTTTAACTCTAGGACTATGATTGGGGCAATATCGACCCCCACATCGGTCATGACTGACGTTCTTTCTCGAAGATGGGTGAAAATTTCAAACTTCAATGGAACTTTGTCCACAGGGGTACTTCGACTCCATGGTCGCAAATGCCTTACACTGACACAGCGTGTGGAGTAAGGTATTTGTGATGTAGCGCCCAAAAAGGCACGCTCATCAGAGATGCGATCTCGCTTTTGATTACACGGGTGTTGTTTTGCAAGAGTCTTTGAGAAGGAGCTCCCACGAGCTACTACGTGAGACTGCGAGCAGGACATCTTCGTAATTCCACTCATGAAAGCGCTTCGCAAATTCCTAAGGGAGCTGCATCCACCGTACCACAAGACGCATACGCAGGTGAGCATATTCTTGCAAATGGCCGGATCGACTTGTTTCCTCGTCAGTGTTGATGGTGTGAAACTTCATGTGCTGATTTCTAGCAGCGGCAGATAACAACACGAAATCAACTTTCTCATGCTACATCCATAAGATTATTAACGGTCGACGCTACCAACGGGAGATCCATAGAGGATGGCGAGGTTTGTTCGAGCTGCAAGCTTCCTTGAAGACACATTTTGCGACTGGTCGTGGTGGGTATTAACGTCCAAGCATGAATTTATAGGTACTAGTTCCAAGCATGAATTTATAGGTACTAGTTAACTTACCTGTCACGAATGTGACAGAACGAAGCGCCGAAAACGCTGAAATAGAGTATGCTTGTTCTCTTTTAGCATTGGATAAGCAAGCGGTGAATAGAGACGCAGAGCCGCTCCAGCATCGCAGCACTACGCAGCTTTGTATGTTCCCAGCCATTTGAACTTGGTGTTTGCGGAGTTTTTAATCTTTGCCAACTCCTTTGCCACGCACTTTTGAGGGTAAAAGCCACACATCAAGGACTGTGGACCTGCACTCCTCATTGAAGAGAAGCATCGCACCTGGTTTAAGGGGGTGGTTCGGGACAGGTGTGCTTTTTGGAAGCAGTCCGCTGGATGATGTAGGGGTTCAAGCAAGGACAATACAGATCATTTTCGCTGAGCCTTACTGGGAATGCCAAAAGGAGTAAGAAGAAATTGCTTACAGTGGGCGGCTTCCCATCTAATTCGGCTCTGTTCTAGCTGTAGCGTGCCGCTAAATATGTCTGTTGGTGTATGTGTTCAACCCTGAAATTCATAACTTTCCTTAATTTAGCCTCAGTGAGTTCGAACTGAGAAGTGATTCGGTGGGTACGACTGGGACATTATTGGTGGGTGACAGAAGCTCTTAACGACTGATAAGAGCTGACAAGGATCTCTAAAAGGCGAGGGTTACGAAATTCATAGCGCTGATCCCAGCAACATGCGATGTTGGCTCCGAGATATGATTTAGGGTACGGGGCCACAACACTATTGATGGGTGGTAGAGGGTTATATACTGACAAGATACGACAAAGAGAATTGGATCTCAAGCGTCGCCTGATCCATAGCACCCCACCCACTCAGTAGGCATTTGGTTCTATGGGTGGTATAGGGGATGTGACAGGGATATTAATTATCAGTGACGGAAAGGGATAGCAGCTGATAGGGGCTGATGAAGAATATTGCCGCTGTCATTCTTCTTCAAAGTTGTACGTTCTTCACACAACCCAGTCATGAAGATTCAATGATGTGGACACTAGTGGCAGGTGACAGGCGATTTTATCAATTGACAAGAATAGTTAGGGGGTCATCTTGACTTCATTTCTTACTACTGTACTTCTGAGTATTGGTTCAAGATATATGAGTGTCCTTTGAATAGGAATGAAAACCGAAGCAAGAAAAGGTCGAGATCTAAGTACCTCACCTGTTACGTGGTGAAGAAGTACGGAAGTTTTTTGGATGTTTCCCGCATCTTTCTACTCACAATGGACGGAAGGTGTGGTGCAATACTCTCACGGAATGGCTATCTGTGGATCGATCCGCTGCGGGAAGACTTTGTTTTATTTTTCACATTCCCGCCTTCTTGGCCTGCGTGCCTGATGTGCATGACCCGGATATGTGCCATCTCATCCCATTAACGGATTAAGGAGAGGCCATACCCATCTACTACGCTCTCGAAGCTGTTATTGGAGAAAGTCCTCCTAATACTTGGGTCATCCGATGTCCCGATCACGAATGCGACACTCATTTTTGAATATGGCACAACAATCATCCACTATTTATAAATAATAATTGAGAGAATTTAATGTTACTGACTTATTAAGTGCGAGAGCTTCCAGAGAACTGGTGTAGAAAATGCGAATTCACGTCGGTCTTGCCACTGACCTATTGCGACTGTTACCGACCGAGAGTTCAAGTGCCATGCCATCCAAGTGGTCGATCCATCAATACCAGAAGAGCTCGAAATTTTAGCTAAAACTTGGTATACGGGGGTAGCGGTAGGTCCTGACCACGATTACTTTTGTCGCCGAGGTCATAAGGGGCAAGTATGCCGCTGAGTAGCCCATGCGTACGAGAAGGGATGCTGTAGGAATCACTGAAGAAACTTCTCCAGCGATTCCTACTGCATCCCTTCCAGGCAATTTCTTACTCTTTTTGGCATTCCCGCTATGCAGAAATGAACTTCAGTTATGTTGCCCGTGTATGGACCCCTACATCATGCGGAAAACCGTTCCTGGAGAGCATGGCCGACCTCCCCTGGCTAGGTACCTAAGAAGGTGTTTTTGAGGGTAGTGGGTAGAGATACTAAGTAATGCAAAAGTGGTGAAAAGGAAAGCGGTCAGACCCATCGAAACCGGATCTCAGACTGCCTCCTTGGAAGTGGAAGAGCGGTCAGGAGAGGTGATTTTTGGCGATTTTGACGGTGCGTAATGCTCAACAAACCATTCGATCAATTTAGTGCGATTGCCGTTTCCGTAATCATATGTTTTATCTGTTTGGGGTGTTTTCATGTAACCTTCATGTATGTACGGACAGGGGGCGGGCAAAAAAAAAACTTAGCCTGTGGCACATACCGCTAAAGAATACGCAGCGCACAGAAAAGACGTGGATACGAGTAGCAGGGCGGACTGCCACGGCCACTGCCTCCACTGATAGGCTAATATGCGCTCTCGCCTACAAGGATTCTGATCCTTGCCATGTGCAAGGTGAACGGGTGCGCAGCTGTAGAGCTGTATCAGGTTTCGTCATTTGGAGGTGTATAATAGTGAGGCTGGACGGTAGCGGTAGACGGATGCCGTTTGAACTTAGCTCACAGGCAAAGCAAAAGCGACATGGTGGACAAAATGTAATGCCTGATCATGCATGCTCCTAACTAGAGCCAAATGCGCTACTTGCCTGCGCCTTCTCGCATTTGATCATTCTCTACACTTTGCTGCAGCAGGCTTGCCATTTATGTTGTTCGCTGCGGTACCTTGATGTCGGCTGAAATTCCCTCACGTTGTGGAGAGCGAGTGAATCCCAAAACAGCATCCAGTCATTAGAACTCGCCACCTTCGAGTAATGAAAGTGGCACATTTCCACAGCTGCAGACTCGTCCGCCTCGAACATGGCAGGGATTCGTCCTGCAAGTTAGAGTACAGCGTATCTTCAAAGTGAAAGGCATTACGTTCAGCTAGTTCTTTGGATATAAAAAATATTCGCGTGATTTTAGCAAGAGAAACGTCTTGAAGAAGATTGTCCAGAGTATTATGAAATAGATGAAATTCCGCCACTACCATTGCATTCCCTGTTCTCCGGTGACACTGAACATCGCTTGGACTCCAATGAAAAAGGCGAATCAATTATGGGAGTGAGTTTACTTGCTATGTTGTATCATCAAAGTTCTCGTTTCGATCTCTCTTTTGTATGAGCATATTTAACAAATGTGTTCTTCTAGGTCTTGGATCGTTTTTTCCGAAAGGATGGTTGCATTTTGTAGGGATTCAGTTGTGTCGCAGAAGTGTATTCTGTAGTGTATTATTTTTTCATCTGTGCCTCTGTAAATGCCAGAAAGAGGGTGAAAAAATACACTCTACAGAGCAGTTTAAAGTTATGGTACCGCCTTATTGTTGTAGGTTCTCGGTGGCCGTGGTTGTTCGAGAACACTGCGAAATGAAGTCATAAGTAACAGCTTTTCTCAGGCATACATTGCCTCCGGCGAGCACCCTCGTGCACTGCTGTTGTGATGTAATCGATAGCGAGGTGGTGTTGGTGAATATGGTACGACTCGTTTTTCTTCACACCTTGTCAAGGGTATCGGCCCAGAGTGCAAGACATCCTTAAGAAGGTGCGAAAACTTCAGTTGATTTGAGGTCACTGAGCCATGAACGTATCTGCGTATCTGCGTATCTGTCAAGTAAAGGGAACTATCAACTTGGAAAACAACCTGTTGTGTGATCCTAAATCGTTGCAGATTATAGAAGGTAGAACGTTTTGCTACAGACCACCGCGAAAGCGTCTCTTCTGCGTTACTTTATCGACTGATATCATCAAAGCTGTTATACCGTGCGAGGAAGGTCGTTCAAGGCGTGCCCCGAGGAAGGCCGTTCAAGGCGTGCCCCGCTTTCTCAAAATGGTTTTCTGCATTCTGTAGGGGCTTGCACATATACCACAGAAGTGGGGCTCATTTTCGCTGGGCGGCCCCATTAGCGCCAAAAAGGAGAGGAAACTACGTCTTTGTACCCTCATACAAGGGACGTTCAACGCTATACTGGCCCCCAAATTGCGTGGGCGCTGAAAACAAGTGTCGGAATAGTAATCCGGACCATCGACTACCCCTATAAACGAACTTTCAGCCAAAAAAATTTTTTTCAGTTTTTTCGGGTTGTGGTGGACCATTTGGTCGGCAGTGGTGAGCGGGAGTCTCACCTCTTTGTAAAGATGATGACGTGACGATGACGTAGCAGGGCCGAGCAGGACATCCGCATCGCAAGGGTGCAATTAAGGTTCTTTTGTGCTTGGCATCAGTGTGGGTGGTGGCGGCATTCGTGGAAAAGCATCCTGGGACTTTGCCGATCCCTACCGCCTGCTCGCTCAGTAAAGATGTCAATCTCCCCTACCGGAACAGAAATTGCCTTCATACAAATTCCTCAACATTTTTGGAGTCGCTTGGACGAATACTTCCCTTCCTTTTGACATGAGTTTCATCAATACTGTTAGTTTTATGTTTGTATATCAATAAAATGGGGAAATCCGTATAATGAGGCACTGTAGACTTCAACAGAAAGACTTTCGGGCACAACCTAACACACAGGACCAAGAAATTCAGAAAAATTTTGTGGTTGAAAAGCTGTCCACAGGGGTGATCATTGGCCCCGATCATTTTGACACTTATTTTCGGCGCCTTTTTGTGCCTGGGTAGCGCCACGCGTCCCTTATATGTATGTAGCTGCCGCATTCATTGAGAGAAACTTGTGGCTCCAAATTAGCGATGAATAGCACCATAGCTATGAGTGGGTGCCAAGGGCCTTGACTGACCTATAGAGTGAACTTTCAGCTACAAGTTCAACTACGGTCTTGCTCAAGGGTAATCAAATTTTGAAATATTTTGGGTTGGCACATAAGTACTTTCGTTTTTTTTTTCAACCGAAAATTTCGTTCCAAAGATGAAATGTTTTGCTAGCAAGCTTGATATCATCTGATAGGAAACTTCACGTAGTTTTAGATTATTAAAACGGCTTCGGTTGAGGGAATAATTTTTGTGGATTTTTTAGTCGTTATTTGAAAGCGAAGTCGGCGAAAATTAGCACCTTCGACAACTGCCTCTATTTGCGTATGGTCGGAGTGCTAAAATCGCTTAAGCTGCTCCATGCATTTGGAAAAGGTTGAGCTAAAAGTTCCAGCAAGGGAATCTCACTAGGACGCTTTGGAACGAATTTCAAGAATTTTGAAGTTACCAACCTTCGCCTCGCCGATATTGGGCAGCTCACGTCTGTTACACCTGAAATTTTATGCTAATATTTGAATGTTTCGCTGATATGTTTTAGATGTTCTGATAGCAAATTTCGTGCTTTATAACACTGCTATAGAAATCTGTTCTCCTGAAGTGTTTGCTTTCTGTTAAGTTCAGGTTATCATTACGGAACGCGAAGTCGTTGAGAACTAGCGTTCCGTTCTCCACGAATTTTATGCTAACATTTGAATGTTTCGCTAATGTGTTCTATATGTTCTGATAGCCAATTTCGTCCTCTGAAATAATACACTCATCGCGTTGGCAGTCATTTTGAAATCCGTTTGATGAACCTTGTTTTCCAGGTGGATAATATGGATTGTCAGGTCGATAAGCATCAGCACTTCAGAACATCTCCTCCTTTTTCGCATTCAACAGAGGTATCAGTACCATTCTTGAAGCGTCTGAACTAATTTTGGGCTGTTTCGAGAGAGAGGGCATTTTTTCTCGTACACTTCGCGAATTTGCCGAGCAGCATCAGCAGCTCCGATACCTCTGTTGAATGCGAAAAGGAGGAGATGTCTGAAGTGCTGATGCCTATCGACCTGACATTTCATATTATCCACCTAAAAACAAGGTTCATCAAACGGATTTTCAAAATACTCCACGCATGTTATAGAGCAGCGAAATTGGCTATCAGAACATATAGAAGGACATCTAGGCCAAACAAATCAAAGGTTAGAATAAAATTCGTGGAGAACGGAACGCTAGTTCTCAACGACTTCGCGTTCCGTAATGATAATCTGAACTTAACAGAAAGCAAACACCACTGGAGAACAGATTTCTATAGCAGTGTTATAAAGCACGAAATTTGCTATCAGAACATCTAAAACATATCAGCGAAACATTCAAATATTAGCATAAAATTTCAGATGTAACAGACATGAGCTGCCCAATATCGGCGAGGCGAAGGTTGGTAACTTCAAAATTCTTGAAATTCGTTCCAAAGCGTCTTAGTGAGATTTCCTTGCTGGAACTTCTAGCTCAGCCTTTTCCAAATGCATGGAGCAGCTTAAGCGATTTTAGCACTTCGACTTTACGTAAATAGAGGCAGTTGTCGAAGGTGCTAATTTTCGCCGACTTCGCTTTCAGCTTCAACGACTAAAAAACCCACAAAAATTATTCCCTCAACCGAAGCCGTTTTGATATTCTAAAACTACGTGAAGTTTCCTATTAGATGATATCAAGCTTGCTAGCAAAACATTTCATCTTTGAAACGAAATTTTCGGTTGAAAAAAAACGAAAGTACTTATGTGCCAACCCAATAATTGAATAGCACCGATTCATGGAGTATCCTCATTTGAAATGTGCCCATAAATGGCAGTCGTCGGACTTATATTCATGCACGGACATTCATACACGGAAGGAAAGCAAAAGCTGAAAAATGCAACACTTGCGCTCTGCGGGGAATTGATCCATCAACCCTACCATCACTGCCCGATTGAGAATACTCCATGCTATCCATTAGGCCATCCGATCGTTGCTGCTGCGCACCGCTCTGATCGTTGAAGAAGCATTCCAAGGCGCCGTTCACTATTGATCACGCGCCACAAGTAAGTCCCCTTACCCCAACTATTGTTCTCCTCGATTTCAATCGTACCTTTATAGGGAGCTTCTCAGAAACTGGTCAAGGTTTCAAGCAGTTCACAACCCACCGAGGCTCGAAAACAAGCGGTTTCCATAAATTTCTTTTTTGCTCCTTCTTTGGCATTCCAGGGGTCACTCAGCGAAAATGAAGCCCACCTTTCTGGTTTATGTGCAAATGCCATTTCAAGCAGGGCACGCCCTGAACGACCACCCTTGTGAGCTCACACACAGTCTCTCTTTCTAATAAATAAAGCAACACATAGCTCTCATAATCTGGCTCTGGTACTAACAATAGGTCCTGGAATACTTAAAAAGCTTCTGAGTCTTTCTCGTTTTTGCATCTTTGATCCTTGCTGCATTATCGGAAGGCTTCCTTGTGCAGGCGATCTACAACAATGTCAACAACTCATAGCTTGATCAGAGTAATGGGAAAATACTGGTGGAATGCGTGAAGCTGATGGTAAAGAGAAAGCGTTAAGTGAATGGAGCTTAATCCAACGTCGAGGCAGTAAACATTTCACGGGAAGTCGAGGGGAACAATCACATCCACATCGAAGCAGGACTCGATTTGTTTGTATTAAAAGGATTACCATTGAGCTTTCGCTGGCAATTGATTCATTTTTGGGATCCAGCGCACTTTCTACTTCCATTCAGAATCATAGTGAATTCTTGAAAACGATATGACGGATGCGATGGCTTGTGGAGGCCCGTCGATGCGAAATTTTAGCGGGCCACCTGAAAATTGCTCACAAGTGAGGTCATTCAATTCATGGTGAGCTTTTTATGAGCGGTTTGTTGCATGATGTAGGGGTCCATGCATGGACCGCACAGATGGGGTTCATTTTTGCTAAACGTTATTGGGAATGTCAAAAAGAGTGAAAAAAAAATTTGAGAGGGAAGGGCAGTTTTAACCACCTCATTCAGCTCCGTTCTAGCTCTGGCTTTGAGGGGATGTTGTTCATGAGGTGTTCTTCAACTAGGCATGAAAAACGATGCAGATTAAGGTCAAAATCCATGTACTCTACTTGGCAAGTAGTGAGCTACACTGAAGTTTCTCCAGTGATTTCTGTTCCCTTCCCGCGCGCAGTCGGTATTCCATACTATCCCTAAGAGGCGTCGGCGCCGAAAATAGGTGTCAGAAGCGTGATTGCGGTTATCAACTACCGCAATATACGAAGTTTCAGCAAAAAAATTCTCGAGCTCCTCTGCTGTTAATGGATCGACCATTTGAGTGACAGCGGCACACCAACTCTCACATCTCTGTAACCGCGTAGCTCAGAGGTGAGCCCGACTGTTATAATTTCCATTCCAAAATTCAATACGTTCTAAGAAAATGCCATGTTAAATCCACTGAACCTCAACGAACATTCTATCCTTTTCAAATTTTACCGTCTAGGCTTTTA